GTGTTCGTCAAACCGCATAGTATTATATCTGACAACCTTCTTCCTTGAACAGCTTACACGTTATTTATTGCAGCCAACTGCCCCGCCACATATTAATCCAACCATGAGTTTGGGAGTTCGAATAGTATAATAGTCACATGCAGACTCAATAATGGTCTTCAAACAACATCCATTAAATCACCATATCTTCCTTCAGTTTGGAAACAAATTGACAGGCTCAGTGACCCATATGAGTGAACACAGACAGATCGACGATGTATGCTGGTAGACTACAAAGGAAACAAGTGTGCATCAAACAAATAATTGTGAAATACTGAACATATCTTACGAACTCGATGGATGTGTAAGTCACCTAGGCACTGAGGATTCAGCACGTTATATGGTGCAGTTAGGCGATTATCAGATGAAGTTGGGGAATGCACAATGTTTTGACTTCGATCAGCTTCTTCCTCTGTGAAGGCAACAATCATTGAAGTAAACTTTCCTACGGCTCAGGGCATCTTTCCGCAATTCGGGCTGTTTTCAGTATCAGTTGCCAGTTGTTCTCGGAAAATATGTTGGCTTTCACTTTTAAATTATGCGGTCTCAATAACTAGGATTATTACTAAAGGTGGACTGGGAGAAGATGCATTGCGTGTCTGCAATCGTGCTTAACGATTCCAAGTTATGTTATCACGGCTCAATCTGTCGAACCAGAGACAAATATCTTTGGAGCGTAAAAATGAAACTACCCATATAAACATAGTAGTCACATGAGGAGGACAGTAATTTCCTGCGACATCATTGATTCATGATGTTTATTGCTAGTGGAGAATGTAAATGGATTTTAATAAGCTACAGTTAGTAGGAAGAGAAAATACATATATATGGATGATGACTTTGAGGCAAAAGGAATGATTTGGTAAGAGGGTGGAGCGCAAAACTTGATTAGATAGGAAATGAACAAGTGGAATGGGATAACTGTATGTCATTTTATGCTTCTGCTAGTTCGTACTTCATTAGGACCTTAAGCATTTCAATGTCATACACAAAACTGCAGCATGATGCATTCAAATGAAGTCAGACAACAAGAAACAATTCAAATTAGTGCAAAATCCAAATGTTCGGATTGAAATAATATGACATGCAAGAAGTTTAACATACATATATCCAACTTAACAGAAGGCTTTCGAAAATTGATATACATGTCAATATCTATGTGGAGATTTTCGCTTTCAAGTTGGTATTCTTCAGGGATTGACATCAACTGGAGGACCGTCTTAATGTTCTGACACTTAGGATAAGCATAGCAGAAGCAATAAAACGACAGAGAAGTCAGTGGAAACTGAGAACTGAGGCACACATAAATTTAACGAGGTACACTAACCTAATGAAATCATTGTCAACTTTTAGCAGTGCTGATTTGGTATGCGCTTCAGGAATACTTGTGCATGTCTAGCGAATAAGTGAGGAATTTCGTTTGAAGGATGGCCTAAATATACCAGGAATACAGTTAATTCGGAGTGGTTTGGAAGGTCGCCGTAGCAACTGCCGAAATGACCAATCAGGTTTAGATATTCCACCTGAGAGAGTGGTTTCTCATTAAAAATAGAGAAACGTAACTAGTTGTCTGAAGAATTTCTGGTGTGGCGTTTAAAGTCTGTAGTTAATTCTGTGTGTGTGTGTGTGTGTGTGTGTGTGTGTGTTTAAGTGAGGAGACATGGATACAACAGAATTGCAGATTGTTGGATGGAGGACTAGAAGTGAATACCGATTCCCATACTATCAACGGAATTAAAAGATGAACACAATGGATTGATTACTCACAGTGAACCTCAATCTTCACCAACTAAATCCTGTCTACATCCTCAATAAGTTGAAAGAATTTCTATGCAAACTTATCATATTTGCAGAGGACAACATTCGAAAGGATTGTTAGGCGGTAACTTGGTAACACAAATTCTTAGTTGGTTCAGTTAACTTATGATCGACTAACATATGATGCATTTTTGAAGTCAGGTATTACTCCGCCTATCGTTTACTGCTTTTTTCATATTATCGAGAATACTGTGTAAAACTCAGTAAGCAAAAGTCAGTAAGAAGCTTTTTCAAGTCTGGCTGTTTTGTCTTGTGTATAGAGATGAATATATATATATATATATATATATATATATATATATATATATATATATATATTCGCGTAGGCTGATGTCCTCCTGTACTTTAACCTATGAACATACCCTCATAGTCATATGTCCATACATTCTGCTGCTAGTGAGTGTAATGTGGTTACAAACAACTATGCTTAACCAACTGTATGGTTATACCGCAGCATTTCTTACTTTACAGACTGCATCAGTCGACAGTATTTTCCCCAAGTTATACATCTTAAATGAATTTGTAATGCAGAATAAATCTCATGTTATTGTGGGCAAAAAGTAAACATTTAAGTATTACTTTAATTATCAGTATTGAAATTTGATTGAATAAATTTGGATGTGGAAGATTGAAGAACTTTAGTGGTGTATATCATATCATATATACCATGAGTGATTTACTCTTAAAATAACGAAGACGGAAATACCGATAATCGCGCAAATCACAAAATCAGTATCGAGGCTGTCACTCCAACCACTGTTGATATTGTCCCATGACTTTGATGAAAGCAACCATGTGTTTGGGTGCTCGAACGGTATAATAATCAAACGCACACTCAATAATGGTCTTCGAACAACATCTATCAAATCACCATATCTCCCTTCACTTTCGAAACTTATAATAGCAGAAAAGATATATACAAGGCACAAGAGGTCTTAGAAGTTTCAGATCGTTGTATTTAGAGTTGTCAACCAGTTTCTTGTTTAACAGCCCTCACAATATATAAGTGAATCATCTTTTGATTCAATCAATCTTTTCTCTGCTGTAATATTCCTGCTTGAATCTATAATGATCGTTGAGAGTCGACTTTGTCTTCCTGATGTGACCTTTGTCCATAAATGCAACACCTTTATCTGCTGTTACTATTATCATCATCACTATGCTGTAATGTTTCTCGAGGATTTCTGCAGCATACAGTTTCAGTGGAGCACACAGGGTTATAAATCAAAATAGTCATACAACTTTGGACATATGAATTCTATGGTCCTATCACCTTGCATTCTTTATCATTTTAATGATATTAAAATTTCGCACATCTGTTATAGGTTTTGCATCATTCCTAAGATATGTGTTGGGTGTGAATTCAATTAAGCGAAACTCTTCACTTAGCTTCAGTGAATTTCGATTCGACTGCTGTATTTTCACCATATTCTATGGTTGTTTGTAAGTCGATGCACTGCAATACAGGATTTTTCCCCCGTATTGTTCATCTTAGTGGCTTCTGTAATCCTACATTTGGCTAAATTCCTATGATGCAATAATCTAAGTGATCTCGATCAGCTGATCTGAATTTGTAGATATTGCCTGCTATTTGATAGATCAAATTATTTCTTAATTGAGTCATTGGGATCTTTAAGCTGACAAATTTTATCTCTGAGTAAGTTTGTAGGTTTGAGTGCCAATTTAATTTCAGTCTTGTTGAGAATTATACATGAAATTTTTGATCTTCCTTCTGTGTGATAACACAACAGAACTTATGAACTCATCTCTACTAGTGTTGCAGTTACCATTAAACTACTACTACTACTACTACTACTACTACTACTACTACTACTACTACTACTACTACTACTACTACTACTAGTAACACTTCGTTTCCTGTGTTCTTAGAAATATCTTGATAAATTCTAGGGTATAAATATTGATGTGTCGTGTTTCTTTTAGACAATTAAATATGCATATCATTCATTGTGTTGCACTTGATTCAAGCTTATATAATTCCATGAAGAGAATTGAATAACATACAATCTTAGATAATAAATAAATAAATAACCGGTTTATTTCACTGCTTAATACATGCTTATTCGGTTTGGGGAAGTGTTCCTACAAGCCAGCTCTAGTGGAGTGGTTTTATGACTTGCGCATCTCATTCACAAGACAATCAATTACGGAACTCAACTGAGTGCAGTGGTATTATCATTGATTTTAGGAGTGGGTATACTAACAACAAAGTCGTATTCATTTTGTAATTTGTCTGGCAATCACTGAAAGTCATTCGTTCACTCATTGTGCATACAAAAATACATAATACTGAATGTTCGCTGGTTTATATCATCCCATTAACTATCATATTGATTGGTGAGTTAACAGTAAACATCCTTCTTCTTTCACTAACCTTAGAATGCTCTTCATATACTTGTTGTTAACAGATGAACATTCATTTTCTATTCGAATTTTATTGTTTCACAAAATGTACTGTATTCAGTTGATCAGGAATAATAGCATAATCTGATATAATAAACGAGATGAAATAAATTATTATTCCTGTAACAACACTCACTAAGTGCTCAATTTTGTAATCGCTTTATCTCCATCTGTCATTGTTAAATGCTCCATGTTAATCTGTTTCATAGGCTAAGTGTATGTTATTTCCGTGTTGCTATAAATTCTCGGTGGCGTAATTTATGGAGTAGAAGGAAAAAATCTGCATGCTTAACAATCATGTTTTTAAACGGTAAATGGCAGAAAATGAGTTGTCATCCTTAACTGAAATGAAGGTCTGTAAACAAAGCATAACAATACAGTCGCATTAAAATGTTTTCAAAAATAATCGGACATTTGAATAAGCAACTTTGTACATGCATACAACTAATAATAAGAGAATGAAGGCAATGGGACAGGACAGGAAAAGACAGGACCGAACAGGCAAGTACAACTCAAAAACAGTAGAAAGACATTTTCCTCCAATGAAATTGATTCTGACTTGCATTGTGAGCATACGAGTATAAATCGTTTATGAAAATAAATAGATAGACCAGCAAAGTACTCACATATCTTCAGTATCGCTTGAGGAAAAACAATGTTCATCTTCGAAATGCCACGTGTTGTACTCATACCTAAACCAGTGCTAGCAGTTGTGCATCGCCTAACCCAATTCGTGATATTTACATATTTTGTTATATACGTGATGTGGTTGAACAAGGGTTACCAGTCGTTTGATCGTCCAATAAGCGGTGTAGCAGTTAAAGTTAAGGGTATAGCATGGAAGCATATATTCAAACATCAAAACAGTGATACGAATGGCATTATTGTACTGGACAGTGGAGACTATCTACTTCAACCAACACAAAATTCTGGTTTCTATTTGGTGACAACTATCAAACACTTTGTTGTACAAAGTATGACGACATGCAGTGAAGGTGACCGTCTGCCTGATGCCAAATGCTTTGAAGACAAGCATTGTCCAGCAGGCTATCAGGCAGGTTCCCAGCCTTACGGTCTAGATGGCCTTGTACCAGACGAGAGCTTGGTTGCAGTGGATGAAAGCGGACATGGCATATTCACAGGAAAGTGTCTACAGAGTCATCAGAAATGTGAAATATTTGGTTGGTGTCCGACTGGTGATGACTATGAATATGAGCTGCGAAAGCAACGTAATGCGAAGATGCGACTAATTCAGCCGCCAAATATCCTGGAAGGATATTATAATTACTTTACAGATTTGGAATTTTTAAATGCCAAGGACAGAATCAATGAACTTACACCGCATTCAGTTGATCCTCTGTTTGAAGTTGTTAACTTCACCGTACTGATTAAAAACAGCATAGAATTTCCCACTTTCAAGGTGAAACGACGTAACATCTTGCCATGGATGACAGAAAGTTATCTACAGGAATGTTTATATAATCCACAACATGAAGTTGATCAGTACTGTCCCAAATTTCGTCTGGGTGATATATTTAAGTTGGCTGGGACAAGTACAAATCGCTTGTTGAAATATGGGGGAGTTATTGCTATCACCGTGAATTGGCGGTGTGATTTAGACTGGTCTACTGACTACTGTTTACCCACGTATGAGTTCTTAGAATTGGAGAGTGTACACAAAGTGAGGAAAGTCAAGATGAAGAGGACAAATTTCAGTGTGAATGGCACCCACGCAGAATCATCTCCAACACTAGCACCAACACCAGTTCAAACGACCGATCATCCGAACATGAAATATGACTACACCTACACAACAGATACACCGAGTGACGAAGATGACGCTATAAATGATGACGAGGAGGTAGTCACAGTTCATGAGGGTTCTGCTATACGTGTTACCTCGTACTTTGGTTATGACACAGAAAGTGCTACAAATCGCAGACGTATCCTTGTTCACATCAATGGTATACAGTTTATAATTCGTGTTACTGGGATGGCTGGAAATTCAATTTATTATCATTTACAATGCGAATTGGATCCGGACTCGCATTGTTGAGCATAGCTAAAATACTGACTGATTTAATCCTCTTCCATTTCACACGTGATCGCAAACACTACAAGCAAATCACCTGTGATGACAAGATACTGAAGCGCCTGCTCCGAATTACCTTCCAGACAAATCTCCCACAATCGCGTCGTACACAGTTAATAAATTCACAAGCAGATTCACGAGTAACCAGCCAGTCTGCAGTACATTCCAACACACTGGAAACATCTTACTGTCATGATAATGGTCAGCGAAAGCCAAGACAATCAAGCGACAGCTCCTTCTCATCACCAACATATGCATTAACAGCGACAACAACAACGGCTGAGGCGACAACCATTCAAGTGGCTGGTACAGCTACAACATCTACAACTAATATTGCCGTCGCTTTTACTGCTGATAATGATGATAGTAATGTCATCATTACTAGCAGCACTACTCATTCTGATCCTGCCAGCCACAGCGATAAAATAACAGCGCATAATGCAATGCTGGATATTGAATCAAACATTGAAAATGACAGTACTCCGGAATGTACTGTATGTGAATTCTACATTCTAAATCCCAGTCTGCATACATCCTTAGACAGCGGTCATTTGAATGAAGCATGCTCGGTTCACTCAACCTACTCACCCTCGTCGTCAAGAACCATCTCAGTAATATCTCATCGAAGCACGAGGATAACAACGTTGTGAGAGGATACACAATGAGCTTACATATACTGAATCCATATTGCATCAAGCTTTTGATATTCACGCTCACTACCCATCATTCATATTCATCTACATTATTAGTCAGTCGATAATACATACATTTTTGCATACATTGAAAAACTCGTGATGTGAATTGTGCAAGCATTGATTGACTTCTCCCTCAAAAACACATGCACCTTGAAAACACTGAGCAGTATATTGCTTCTATCTCTATCATTCTGAGGAAGACTACGGTCTGAATTCATCATGGTACCTCGAATATCCACATCCTTCTCCTTCATGATGTCAAATTTCTAAACTGCCATACGCCTTACTTGCTGCATTTATTTGTTGTGGCAAATTTCATTCCTTTTTGTGACTAGTTATCTGGTGATTTATGCAACTCCTCTCTGTAAAGTGCACATGAAGGTAAGCGTTCGAATATATACACTTGAATAATTACAGATTCATTTTGTTTGCACCACCTGTCGATGCTCAGTGTAATACATCCTCGCAAAACTGACTGACAGGTCCTACGATGTCAGTTGTATTGGTATTGTATTGTTTTGAGCAATTTCAATAAACTATAATCATGATATCTCTCCTTTCCATTTGAGATAATGTGAACCCCAGTTGAAGTAAAGAGAAATCGTTGTTTCTCTGTAAGGACTGGTTCTACGCACAAGAAATACGTTGATGAGGATAATGACTGTATCTACAAAATCTCAGTTGGCATTCGGTCAAGTGAGTCAAGTTTTTTGATGGTTATGGCTTGTTTTGTTTTACATGTCCAACTCTTAACTTCACTCATCATATGCTGATTCAGAAATTTTTCGTCTTTCGTTTCTCGAATAATTACTTAGACATCGATGCGGAGAGCTGTAATCTTTATCCCTATCATGGCTCTTTATTTTCTATATTAACATTTGTTAAGAAACAGAGGAAACTTTGCAACAAAAATTATTAATATTATTTGCCCGTTGTGTTCCTAGTGAAACATAGGGCTTCGGCTGCACGTCTCTAGTGCATTCTGTTCTCTGCAATCCTTTCAACCTGGCTCCGCCACTCCCCACAAGGTCTCATTTCTTCCTCACACCATCTCCTACATGTCACCCTCAGTTGGTACGCCCAACTCGTCGCTTCCCATCACGGTTCCACTCGAGGGCCTGACGCGTGATGTCCCCGAATGGTCTTCTCAGTGTATGCCCAATCCATCTCCACTACCTTCCAGTGCACATTTGTTGAGTGATAGGTTCTTGCTTGGTTGGTTCGTTGCCAGAGTTCCTTGTTGCTTATTCTCTTTATTCTGGCCATTTGAGCTTCAGTATCGAGCCAGCGTATGTGACAGCTGTTGATGAATGTCTGTAGTTTGTTGGAAATGCGTTTCATAACGCGCCAAGTCTCTGAGCCATACAGAAGCATTGACCTGACATCGGTGTCGAAAATCTGGATCTTGTTCACGCTTTATGCTGAGTGCAGATCTCCACGCTTGTTTCAGGTTAATGAAAGCCTGTCTTGCTGTCTTTCCGATCCTGGTTGCTTTGACATCCTCATCTGTGTCTGTGCCGCGGGTAACTGAAACGATGCTGCCTAGGTGAGTAGGTAGGTGGAGACTACTTCCTTTAGGTTTCTCCCCTTGATGGTGATTGGAGCTTGTTGTTGTTGGTGGTGTTGGCGGCTGGGTATCTTCATCACCTCTGTCTTCTCTGAGTTCACTTGAAGTCCCGTCTTCGCTGCTCTGCCCTTCCTCTTCTGTCAACTTGTTAGTTTTCACCTGTAGATCTTCAAGTTTATGTGACATAAGTCATCGGCGAAATCCAAATCTTCTGGGTTCTTTTCATTGGTCAAACAGCGTATGCCCATCTTCTCGCTCCTCACTGTTTGTTGCATGATCCAGTTCAGTCCACTACAATCAGGAATATCATGGGTGGTATTGGGCAGCCTTGTTTTACTCCTGTCTTCACTTCAAAGGCATCATTGAGGTGAGCTTCCCATTGTGAATTACCTGGCATGTGACGTCGTCTTCATATAGCTGCTGTTGAATGAGTTTGATAAAGATTTGTGGCACTCCGTAATATTCAAGCAACTGCCAAATTACCTCTCGGTCGACGCTGTGAAAAGCCTTCTCAAAGTCGATGAAGATGAGGTGCAGGTAAAGTTGACTGCCATTCTATACTCTGTTCTATGATGATGCGTAGCATAGTGTTGCAATTTGATCCGCATATGACTTGTTCTTCCTGAAGCCAGTCAGCTAGCTTGTTGCGGTCGTAATTTTGAATCGAAAGCATCATTTAGTCTCCTCAGCATGATGTCGCCTAATATTTTGCTTGGGGTGGAGAAGAGTGGAGCATGATTCCTTGACAGTTCTCGCAAAGACTCAGGTCGCTCTTCTTCTTGAGTTTGACAAGGTTACTCTTCTTCCAATCTGCAGGTACCTTCCCCTCCTTCCTGACCTTCTTTAATACTGGTATGAGCATATTTGCTGTTGTCCCTGCATCTGTTCTCAGTGCTTCTGGAGGGATTCCATCTGGTCCTGTTGCTTTCCCGCACTTCAGTAACTTCATTGCTTTCAGGACTCCGACTTTTGTTTGAGGATTTGTGTTCACTTGTAGTTCTGAGGCTGTGTGTGGTATTTTTCGTCGAAGTGCAGGTGGTAGTCGACTCAAGAGTTTTTCGAAGTTGTTAGCTCATCGTTTCCTTTTTTTCTCTTCTTTTGTAATTAGATTCCCGTCATCTTTTATTGGTTTCGTCTGTGTTGATCTCTTCCTTTCCAGGTGGCAACCCGGTTATTTGATATGATGTTGTCAGGTCTCTCCTACCAGCAGCCTGTTCTGCTTCACATGACAGTGCGTCATGGAAGTGTCTTTTGTCTTTGCGCGCACTCTTCTTCACTTCTTTTTCCAGTGTTTTATACGTTATAGCTAATGGTAGAGTGATCGCAACCTTTGGGAAAAGGTATGTCTACCTCAACTTGGGTTTACTCAATGTTATAAACTTAATTTTTCTTCCTATTGCTGTTTCCATGATCATCATTGACACAGATTTTCTGAACTATTACGGCCCACTTGTAGATGCCCGTCCAAGATGACGATAAAGCCATGAAGTTATCTATTGGCGAAACCACCTACGTAGGTCCGAGTCTAGCCATAGTTAGGACGGAACATTCTGTCGTCTCATCCTATAGGTTAGTGTTAGAAAAATATCCAGAATTGAGACAATGGACACATACTCTACCAAACATAATCAGCAATGTTATGCATCACATCACTACCACAGTTTCGCCTGTGGCATCCAGACCAAATCGTCTTCCCACTGATAAGCTCAGAATTCAATCACAAGGTTGAACTCGGTATTGTCAAACTGTCGAGCAGTCACTGGGCATCGATATCGCACACCGTATCTAAAAAAATGGCAAAGACCTTTGTCTAACCTATGATTACCAACGGCTCAATTCCAAAACAACGTCTGACTGCTACGATACACCTCATCATAGTCAATCGGTAGAAGATGCAATTACTGAATTTCTCAACACAACTGTCTTCCACATAACGAAAATTGGATATAGGTCGAACTGGTCAGTTTCTGTAACATTTGTAAACATACCTATCTGCTTAATGTGCGTACACGTGTACGTTTATTTCTTTTTACATCGTGGAACCATTCTTACCAGGAATATGAAAATGTCCCTACGCTTTCTCGTTATGGTATCCACATTTTTGGCTACTGGCTGTTTGTATGTTTTTCAAAAAGTAGAGTATCAGATCTTTTTTTTCGATGCTTTTTCACATGTAGTGTATACGTGTTTACGATTTTCATTTCCGTAAAATTTCTGATGAAATTAAAGACTTTTGTTTCTATTCCAGGTCCAACAAGCACTAGACAGAAATCGTGACCAGCTTACCATTCGACACACCGTTTTATCATTTTAAACGACACCCGAGAATAAGTTTAGACAACCACTGGCCAGTCTTCACAATTAGCCCATCGGGAGAGTTCTATTAGTGGTGAAACCACCAGCTTTTTACTTCCGGATGGCATCGTTTTAGGGTTCTGACGTAACCACTAGGGGGAATGGGAGCTGTGGGGCCAAATAATTCTCTAAAATCAGTTGCATAGGATTCGATGAGATCATGCATTGATACTGACCTTCTCAGTTTTAACGCATTCGTTACACTGAAGGCGCACTATCAAGCATTCATGGTATTTGGCGTATTGTCGTGTTACGTTGCTTGTAAGTGACCCCCTAACTAGTTAGTCCGAACGCATAAGTATTTTGATTCGGTTGATCAAATGTACTATCCCACCTGGTCACTCCAT